CCCCCCCCTACCCAAGTTCGCTCTGGGTATACATCCCTGGCCATCAAGTTCGCCACGACAGCGGGTGTTGGAAAGGGCTTAGCTTCGTCAAGATGCGTCCCCGAGAACGAGGTCGGAGTCGCGATCGCCGAGTCTCGCAGCCTCCTTGTGTCTGCTAATGTGCAGCAAGCCGGCTATGCGGAGCAACAATAACAACGGCGCCATAGCCGCGGAGGTCAATCCCACGATACAAGCAGCGCCGATCGCCTGAGCCGCGAGTAACGTTCTGCCTCTTTTTTCTTACAACCATCCACCAGGAATCGAATTGGGCGAGTCGTCATCTCCAAACATTTGCATCATATGGTCCTCCGTGGCCAAGACTCCGACGAACAAGAATCCGACCAAGCCGCAGGCCCCGTGCCGCTGGAGCGCTTCCATAGGGTCGTCCAAGACGATGGGTTTTGCCAGCCGCTTCACAACAATCAACACCAACGCGGCGATGACGCTCAGAAGCATCCCCGCCGACGGCTCTATCACCGCACAACCCGCCGACGCAGCCACCAATCCGGCAATAAGCCCACCGCAAGCGTCCTCCATTTTCCAGCGACCTGTCAACGGCCTCCTCACGAAGAACGTGGTTATGGCGGAGGCGGCGTCGGCTAGAGTCGTGGTGATGGCGGCTCTATTCACAATCCCTTTCATGGCAGTGTAGTGTCTGGGAACGATGCCGAGGATCGAACCTGGGTTAATTTCGTACCACCCAAGCCAAGGAGCAAAGTCCCCAGAACCACAAGAGTGTTGCTGCGTCCATGACCACTCCCCCTCGACGATGCGCCGCCATAGCCGCCGTAACCGCTCTTTGAGCGGGAAACGCCAAGGCGGGATCCCAAGACGAGCGCTCCCCAGAAGCCGACGATGGCGCCCGTCAGGTGGATGGTCCCGCTGCCCGCGATATCCAGCATGCCAACCCCCATCAGACGTTTTCCTTGTCTGTAAACGCTTAGCCACCCGTGTGGTTCCCACACCCAATGGCAGATCACCGGATACACGAATCCGGACAAGAAAGCTGAGGAAGCTACATGTGCCGTGACCTGGCTTCTCTCCGCCATAGCCCCGCTGGCTATGGCCGCCACAGCTGCAGCACTTGCCCACTCGAACACCCACACGCGATGGTTCCCCAATGGGTTTCAGGGATTGCCTTGTCCGGGTCTGGCATAGGCATACTCGTCGTATTCGGCATATTCGGGGAGGTTCATCCATCCGCCGAAGTCGTCTCTGCCGACGAAGTCGTTCCATGGTCTTCCATAGGCGCAGGCAAACCCGAAAAAATAGTAGAACATCGCACAGACAGCTGCATCCACGACAGTCGCGAGCATGACGATGTTGGACTTGTTCTGAGCTCTCGCAGCGCCGGCGGTCAGCATGGCGAATCCTGCCTGCATAGCGAAAACCAGGTATGCTGAGAAAAATACGAAAGTCGCGTCCACGCTCCTGCCAATGCTATACATCTGCTTGAGATGTTCGTCGATACTACAGAAATACGATCTCATTTGATCCACCTCGCTCGATGTTTGGTTGGACGCACGGGCGATAAGCTGCAATGTTTCATTCAACTGGCCTGAGCACACCGAGAACTCCATTGTGCCCGATGCGGTGAGTGGAGGTCGGGTCTCTCTCTCTCTCTCTCTCTCTCTCTCTCTCTCTCTCTCTCTCTCTCTCTCTCTCTCTCTCTCTCTC